TCGTCGTGTGCCCTTGCACAAAACCCCCCCCCCCCAAAAAAAAAAAAAAAAGCTGGGCGCTTGGGGGGCAGGGGCAGTCCTTGGGTATGGCTGTCTCCTGCCTCACTCAGTGCTTTTTACTGACCACCCCGCCGCCCCCCCCCCCCCAGCCACTCCCAGACGAAGGCTGGACTGGTCCTGTGGAATTAGGGCTGAGGGAGCACCCGCTGTGCACTCAGCGCACGTCGCTCTGGAAAATGCTCCTAAGCACTTGCTGTGCTCGGGCACCCAGCACTCACACACCTGGTCGCACCTCATCTCAAACGGCCTGTGCAGTGGGACAGCAGAGGCCGAATGGCGGGTGCCCTCGCAGCCCATTCTTTCTGCCTCTTCCGGTCCATATTGTAAACTTTGGATCTTGGGGCCAGCAGGTGGCATAGTGATTAAAGGTGCTGGACTTCCACATGGCCGACTGTGGTTCAAGTCCTGGGCCTGGTGGCTTGCTTTCTCACTTTCCCTCTCTCTCTGATCAAACTGGAAAATAATAATAATAGTAAATAAAGTTAAATTTAATAAATAAATAAATAATTCTTTTAAAAAAATGAATTTTCCCAGCCCCATCTGTTTTTATTTTTCCTCCCAAGTACTAGCAAAATCCAAACACTTGACTTTGAAATCTCTAGGCCGGGGTTGGCAGGTGGCACGGTGGTTAAAGGTGCTGGATTCCCACATGGCCGACCGCAGCTTGAGTCCTGGACCTGGGCGCTTGGCTTTCTTACTTTCTCTCTCTCTGGTCAAATTGATAATAAACAAATTAATAAATAAATGAATAAAGTTAAAAGAAAAAATTTTAAATAAATAAATAAAAGAAATCTCTAGGCCATTCTAGCTGTTGGCAAGAGCTCTTAGCAAGATCAGAAGGAAGAGACATCTCTTATCTCTGACACCTGCACAAAGACCAGCGTAAATGTCTAGGCAAGGGGCTGACAGGGGGAGCGGTGGTTAACGTGCTAGACCTCCACATGGCCAGCCTGGTTCAAGTCCCGGAATTGGAGGCTTTCCTTCTCGCTTTACCTCTCTCTGTGTGTCTTTAAAACAAACAAACAAACAAAGAAACAAAGAAACAGGACAAAGCGCAAACGCAGTCCCCCACTACCGCAAATTATGCAGCTGAGTTTCCCGCACTTGGGGAAACTGCAGAGGTCAGCACACCCGCAGTGCAATGGGTAAGCCTCACCCTGGGAAAAGCACCTTCATGACCATGGTGTTTCCCCTGCCAGGTAAGTATTCTGTGTGTCTTTCTCTGGTCAAATTTTTAAAAATAAGAAATAAAATAAAGCAATTCTTAAATTTTTTTATTTTCTCTTTTTTCATTTTGGTATTGAGTTCATGCGTTCACCAGAGAGAGACAGAGACATAGAGATATAGAAAGTGAGAAGTCACATCCCCCAGGGGGATATTGCCACACCACAACCCCTTCTCTTTCATTTTCTTCCCAGGATTTTGGGCACACTTGCATGCACACCTAACATGATTTTCAAACTGCCAGGTCTGGGACTCGAACCATGCTGTCAGCCATGTGAGATCCAGTCACCTTAACCTCAGGCTACCTACTGGCCCCCTAGGCAAATGTCAATTCTTTCTATCTTTTTAAAATTATGGTTTTTGCCATAGGGCATGTGAGCTTGCTGGAGAGAGAGACAGTGAGAAGTAAAGTGAGAAACCACCCCCCCCCCCCCCCACCCCCCCCCCCCCCCGCGCCCCCAGGAAGATGGCCACTCCGCCATCTCTTCTCTTTCATTCTCCTCAGGGGATTTTGGGAATGCACACTCATGTGCCTGGCATAAGGTGCCGGGTCCGGGACTTGAACCGCAGTCAGTCATAAGGGATCCAGCGTCATAACCACTATGCTACCTGCTGGTCCCAAGCAAATGTGATTTCTAAGACACCCAGACTTCAGGTGTTCCTGCCACATCCAGTGAAGGAAGATCACCTCTGTGTTGTCTTCTTAATAATTGGTAGCCATGGTTACCAGTATCTAAAGTGATGTCTGTGAAAGGTAGGCACCCTGATGGCGCATCGGGGGCCAACACCCAGAAACCGCTTACTCCCTGAATACTCATTCCAGCGGGGTTCGAGAGTCTGATTTCATCTCAGTTGAGAGTTGTGTCTCTAGTAGCTAAACTGAACCAGGAGAAGCTGGAAAAAGAAAACCCCTGGGCTGAGCCCAGTGAGCCCTGAGAGTGGAGGGGACGGCTCTCTGCTATTGGCCTGCAGCTGAAGACCAGCTCTGCAGTGCTGCAGAAGCGCCAGCTAGGGGTTAGCATAAGATCTAGAAGGTGCTTTGAGTTTTTAACAGTTTTTAACACTTGACTCAGAGGGAGCCAAAAGTTCCCTGGAGTGTCTGTCTCTAGCTTGAAGCTCCCTTATCTGGCTCCACTTTTTTTTTTTTTTTAGAGATTTTTGCCTTAGGGTGCATGCACTCACTGGAGAGAGAGCGAGACAAAGAAAGAGAGGGGGAAAGTGAGAAATCACTCCCCGGGGGGGATAGCCACCCCTCAATCCCTTTTCCTCCATTCTCTGCCCAGGGTCTTGGGCATGCATGCACACATCCTGTCCTGGCGTGATTTTCAAGCCAGTGGGTCTGGGACTCAAAACTTAGCCAAGTGGGAGTCCAGGTGCAGTAACCCCTACGCCATCGGCTGGCCCCTCAGGCTCCACTTCTAACTTGAAGCAGGTGAGTTTTCTTGCCCTCTGAGAGCTGAGCCTTGGGGTAAGTTTTCCCCAGAATAGAGTGTAGGAGCCTCAGTGAAGCAAAAGCCCCAGACACGACTCGCGGGGGAGGATGACGGTGGGAAGACCCAGCGCAGGGTGGCCAGGTTCGTGGCTCTCTTTGGAAGAGGAATTTCCACGCAAACTCCAGCTTGCTCAATGAGCATTCCTCTGAGAATTCGCCTTCCTCTTTGAGAGATGGGAATGAGGTATTCAAGGGTGCTCCAGGGAACCGAGAACCTTGACCAGCCTCCTGAGGGTTAGCGTGGCCCCAGCAAAGATGACAGAGGAAACACATTTCCTTTGGGAGCTTAGATGAGCTCTTTTTCTCTTTTTAAATTTTGCTATAGGGTATCATGGGCTCGCTGGAGACAGACAGAAAAAGATCAAGTGAGAAATCACTCTCCAGGCAGGGGATGGCCACACCACTAACCCCTCTCTTCCATTTGCTTCTCAAGATTTTGAGCACACACACACACACACACCCAGTGTGTTTTCAAGCCTCCAGGTCCAGGACTCAAACCACTCAGTTGGCCATGTGGGATCCAGTGCCTTAACCTCCACATCACCTGCTGGACCATGGATGAGCTCTTTTTTCTTTTTCTTTTTTCTTTTTAAATAATGATTTTATTTAACTTTATTTATTTATTTATCTTAATTTGACCAGAGAGAGAGAAAGAGAGGGAAAGCAAGAAAGCAAGTCGCCAGGCCTGGGACTAGAACCGTGGTCAGCCATGTGGGAGTCCAGTGCCCTTAGCCACCTCGCCACCTGCTGGCCCCTTGGATGAGCTCTTTAATCTTCAGACAATATTATTAAAGGAGCTAAGCCATCAAGTCTAGCAAATCTAGTAAAGGCTCTGCTTTGAATTCAAGAGACCAAGGATATGACTCTAAGATAAGCGGTTCCGAAGGAGGAAAAAAATTAAGATACTAAGCCAAAATTCTTACTACTTTGATGAGCTAGGCCCTTCGAAAATGTTTCCAGGTTCAGAACAATGCTTGGACGAGTAGATGCTCAATTGCATCGGATGACTAAAGGAGGGAAAGTGAATGTACAATCCACAGCCACCCCGCCATCATTCCAGTCTACTCCTTACAGGTGCTTACATCGTTGATAAGATATCATCTTGGGACCAGCAGTTAGCGTAATGGCTATGTCGCTGGACTCCCACGTAGTCGACCGCGGTTCGAGTCCCGGACCTGGTGGCTTAAACTCACGCCAGGCATGTGTGCGTGCGTGCCCAAGATCCCGAGAGGAGAATGGAGGAGAAGGGATTGCGGCGTGGCCACCCCCTGGGGGGTGATTTCCTGCTTTCTGTCTGTCTGTCTCTCTCTGTCTGTCTGGCGAGCGCACGCACCCTATAGCAAAAACCTCTCAAAAAAA